AGAAAAATCGCTAGCCCCGGGACGTCGGGCTAGCGATTTTGCGAGCCCTGCAAATAAACACTTGGTCCTCTCTTTCTGGCCAGACATGTGGCAGCACTTCTGCTATCATTTGGTTTCTATTTAACAAAATAAAAATGCAGAAATAAGTGTACACATTAGTTTTTGACTCTGTCACTGAACTAACACAGCCAATCCCTCAACATGTTTCTCTGCTCATATTGCCTTCATATTAACTCATTTATAACATTGTACTCAACAACAAACAAATCCAAGCAAAAATTTCAGGGGCCAAATTGCAATATATTTCTTCACATCTATAAGTACCACAAGTAGGGGTGACGTGGGCCACAAGTGGCCCCCGGTTTGAGACCCCACCTACAGCAGACCATGGAAACTAATACCATTAAGCTCGTGGCACACTGATCTTAATGCCAGATGAGGCTTGAAACTCTCCAGTTTCTGAGTCACCAGTGTTGGTGGCTTTTACATGTGTCGTCCTATATGGTGACTCCCCCAATAACTTTATACAGCCTCACCTTTTGTCTGAAGTAACATGTTATATTTTCCATTAGACTCCCCTCCCTGAAAGCCCACTTTCGATTGATTAGCTACCATTTTCTTATCAGAACCCAGTGCTTGAAAGCCCCGCCTCCTCATGTCTGCAGTGACCATATAAGGAAATCTGTGCCAAACTGACATAATCTTAGCACAAAACTGGAAACAAACATTGCAAATTAAGCTAACAGGGGTTGCATTTATACATACTGAGCTAATTATTTCGAAATCTAGTCACATTTCAGATGAGTATCCAATACAAAACAGAAAAAAGCAAGAGTGCAGTAGGTACAATTTAAATTAATAAAAGTGTGTGAAGAAGTTGAATTAGGTGAAAACACCTTTAGATCATTAGCACACTTGATATGCAGTATTGTTTACAGACAATGTTTCAAGAATACAAGACATTACAGCGTATTCATGTGAAGGACAGATTTCACATGTTCTGTTTATAATCTAATGAGTTTGACAAGTAAAACACTGAAGAATACATATACTAAACTACAGATGGCACGATACCACTTTTTAATGTCCGATACCGATATCATAAATTTGGATATCTGTCGATACCGATATGAATGCGATATAGTGTGTTTTTAATCAATAAAACTGTTTTTTAATATCTTGCTGCTTTTTGTATAAGTTCATACTCAAGTTAAAAACAAAACAAAACACTAAAGCTATTCTGTTATACCTGTATGCAAAAAACACACTGCACCCAAAACATTTCATAGTTCAGCAACACTGATCAATCTAATAAACTTAAATCTACTCCATCCTCCCTATTCTGGTATTTTAAAGAGTAAGCATCCTAACTAATCGAGCTCTAAAACTCCCAGCAACCCCCACCCTCCACCTCATGATGCTTAATCGATGTAATCAACTTTAATTTGATGCAGTGTGAAAAAAATGCACAGAAATCAATTATTTTTTAAGAATAATTAAATAGATTCAACATCTTTCTTCAACAGAACTGCAGACTGCACAGATGGTACCTTCCCAAAGGAAAAAGTAGTATAGCTTACTAGGGTATATTAGACTTAATAGTTACTATATACAGTAATGGACTTCTATATATTTTACACAAGATTAAAACTTTGGGTGTAAGATTCAGATAATTAATTATTAAAAGCTCGACATTTTAAATGAGAATAAGAAAGAAAAGTATGTCTTTGTGCCCCCTTTTCCCTGTTAATGCCCTATCGGCCCCCCTGGCTAAACTTTGCTAGATCCACCCCGGCACAGTTACCAGCCGTCAGCTGCGTAGAAAAAGATCCTGGTGTAGAAAGTAATATTAAATACATTCTAAGCTTAAACGTGCTGCTGTTGCTCAGCCGCTGGTTTCCTCTTTCTGGCACGAAGTGGGCCAAAAACAAACAAGAGAGACGGACTCACGACAGAAAAGCCGATCAGCTGATCATTGATCAGTTTCATGATTGAAGTAGCAGCAGGAGAGAGAGAGAGGCAGTCGCTCCATATATCGGTTGTTAAGCTTAACGCGGGAACGCTTTACAAACATTCAGAGATGAACTTACACACTTGCTTTACTTCTCTCTGGGATCACCTCCTCGGAGATGAAATGCTGGTTTGGTAGCGAGGCTACAAATACGCAACCAGACCACCGACAGGTCTCACACGCCACAGCCGCTCTATCACGTGATGCATACTGCTCCAAAGTGCTACGGTTATGAGGCGAGTTACGGCGTGTTGTAAGTTTTGTGAGGTACTTTTTTGATATTTAATGGATCGGATTACATTTTTTATTTCTCTCCGATATGCGATCCAGTAATTTACGTCAGTATCGGACCGATACCGATACGTAATATCGGATTGGTCCATCTCTATACTAAACATAAACTTTAGATTATAAATCATCATACAAACCTCCAGTGGGATGTTCCACGCGATAAATACATTTTTCTTGTATTCATCTAACCAGATATCTGCCACCCTCAGAGCATTTCTTCTCATGGCAGGGCTGAGATCAGGTGCATATGGTTTATGGGCCCTCTCGATGTGGGCTATCCTCGAACAGGGCACAACCTCTATACTTCCTCCACACAGCCACACCTGAGTAGACACAGATCAGATGGCCGTGATCGGCAAATCTTCAATCTTAAATAGTTTAAAAGCGTGGACTATAATATTATTACTAATAACTTACACGAATTCCAAGTTCAACATTTTCCCCACCATAAACTGTCATCCCACCATCCAGCCCACCAATTTCTCCAAGAAAAGCTCTGTCTGCTGCAAAGATTCCCATAACAGAGGGACTCCTGTGCAAAAACCAACACATGAGTTTTTTTTCCCAACAATTCTCTACCTATATTGTCTGCAATCCAATGTCACTTGAGATACATTTTGTGATGCTGTCTCTATCGCCTCTTTGCTTGCACGCTTCACGTACTTCCCCGGTTGTGATTCATCCATCTTCTTTACCCACTCAGAGCTAAAGGGCTCGTATGTGCACCACATTGCCCAGTCAAAGCCATGAGAAAATGGGATATATCTTTCCACGTGTAGGTCATCAAAATGGACCTTATCAAAAACAGGGGACACTACAACAGTCCTGTCAGCTTTGATCCTGTCCAGCAAAGGTTCTGCCCTGCAGAAGAGGAACAAATAAGACACCAAGAGAACTTTCCAGTATGTCATTTTTCTGTTCATAAGATTTCATCCAAAATTACTGTTTTTATCTGAACTTGAAGCGCTAGCAAAAGAAATAACTCATTAAATAAGGAGGGAAACAGGTACTTCATTGGTGGAGGATGTGTTCCTCGACTTCCTACTTTACTCTTGTTTTCCTGGGGGGGAAAAACAAACCATAAAGTTAAAACATGTACTTACCATCCTTCTGTGGCTTCAATATGGGCATCTAAAATGGCCACAACGTCAGCTGTGGCATGCTCCCAACCGGATATCCGGGACTGTGATAAGCCCATTTGTTGCGTATGTCTCACTTTCTTCAATAATCCGGGCATCTCTTTGTTAATTTGATCTATGTAGTCTTGTAAGGGTTTTCCAAGGTCATCTGGAATTGAAATAGAGATCTGTGACAAAGCTGATGTAGTTCAAAATACTGAGTGACATTAGCGAGGACTATCTTTGTAAGCTTACTGTAATTGCTGTAGTCATCCACCAGAATGATTTCTTTCAGCAGCTTCTTTGGAGTGTGGGTGATTATACTTTGTATTGCTCTCTTAATGACAGACAGGGCCTCATTTATGTAGATGAGTATCACACTGATGCTCGGCAGATCTTTGGCATATTTCTTTGCGAGACATCTAAACGGTGTGAGATGGTGTGTATTAGATTAATGTTTTAGTAAGCTCAAACAGACCATTAGCCCAGCCCCGTTTTTCGAGGTTTACTTGGGAGTAGTGAGATAGTTTTAAGCTCTTCTAGGACAAAGGATGACAACATTGGAATTTGCAGCAGAAAATAAATAAATAACTAAAAATACTTGACCGTCATGGATCTCATTAACAAAATGTACCTGCTGTCTCTTGTGTCTTGAAGCTTCCTGTCAAGTGGCAGCTGGTTACTCAGGAAGGCATTGTATCCATAAATCTGAAACAGACCTTCAGCTTCCTTCTGCTCTTGTTCTGTCAGGCCATCGCCCCACTTGGTAAACAGGACGGAGTTTGGGTATAACTTTGGCATAACGATCTTCTCTTCTTCTTTGTCCACATTTTGTAAAATGGAATTTGTGAAATTCTTTTGACCTAAAACCTCGGTTAGCTTTGCTTTTGTGGAGGTTGAAAAACAGAAGGATGAAAACTGTTATTCATTGTTGGGGCAAAAGAAGAAGAAACCGGCTAACAGAATTGTTTTGACTTATCAAGTGCTCTTCAAAAACTCGTCACACAGATCAAATCTAGCATGCATCTTTCCCCCTTTGGGTTCCTAACATTGAAAAAGAAAAAAAATGTAATTTTACCTGAGTTTGCCATTAAAACAACACTCCACCTTCATCATGGCCATATTTATATCTATATTACCGAATTTCCCAGGGGAACCCACCCGAGGGATTAATAAAGTTTTATCTTATCTTATCTTATTTGTTATGATTAAATACAACAACCAAAACATGAGCAGGGTAAAGCAATGTCTATAAAAATGAAAAATGGATGAATACGCTTGAAGAGCAATGCCATATAAGATGGACCAAGCTGTGTTTAACAGCAACATTCGCCATGAAAACTATACACAGGAAACCTTAGTGGACAATTCTTTTTTTATGCAATGAATAGCATTAAAGAAAAAGCATTGAAAGGAGATTTCTCATTGGTTGCAACCCTTATAGTTAGCAGTCTTGGCTTGCTCTGTCTCATTCAGTTCTGCTTTCAGGTAATGGTAGCAGTGGTGGCGATGTAGAATCCCAATAGCCTTTTGCTCTACACTGGAAGCACATCCTCCAGACCAACCACCAACCAACACCACCATGACTTAACAGAGCAACTATTCATAAAAAGAGAGCCATGAGATTGGGAGTACACATTTACTTTTGACACACATACATTTCTTGTGAATGGTGGATCTTTACAATGTGATAGCTAATAATAGGTTAAGCTATTTCACTGAAGGGTAACTTTATCAATAATGCTGAAAAGAAGTCAGCGTGTGAGAATGTGAACTTTGAAACTGATACTCACTCAGTTTGTTTAGAGTCTGTTCGATCCTCTCCAGTTTTCTCTTTAAAAGTTCTTGATCAGCTACTCCCTCAGGAATAGATTTTCTGGGTGTACAACTTCTATTTGTGTAGATGATGAAAATGTATAGTGACAACAGAAATGATCCGATTATTCCAACTCTTCGTATGTTTAGCTTCATTGTGGTTTCTCACAGAGGATCACAGTGTAATTATGTCCTCTGCAGCATTTCAGCTTTCTGTGTCCGTTTGAACAGGCTTTAAAACTCAAGCTGTATAATAAAGCATATCTTATCTTAAAGTTTAAACATTTCTGAAAGAAAAAAAACTCACACAGCTATTAAATAGCATTTTACTGACGTAAAGGTGCAGAGGTGATGCCAAAAACCGTTATCAGGCTAACAATAAAGGGTTCAAAGTACACACAGTAAATTTCATGTGCTTGTAAAACTTACTCAGCCTCCTTTCTTTTACATGAATTTACTGTGGTTGTAATTGATATAAAAATATTAGCACATTTAGGATAAATGACAGCCTTGAAGCATTAAATATTACAGATAAGATTATGCTTGTTGTCCATTTCTATTTTTCTCTCTTCTTTCTCTCAACCAAAAGTTGAACACAGTAAAGCAATAAAATGTGTGTGAAAATAAAAAGAAAGGTCACATGGTTATTGTAATAGCACCTCAGTGAAGGACGAACACCTGGAAGCAGGAATTCTCTTCACCCAACATGCAATTTATTTACAGATGCTGACAACAAGGCAGGTTGGTGGTATGAACCACAAAATAAGAAAGCTGCAAAATGCAAACTTACAACTGTTTAAAAGAACCCAAGGAAACTCAAAACATGTACAGGGTGTGCATGTGTGGCTGCATGAGGTATGGTGTTGTAGGTAAATGCAGTGCAACTCATGCCACCATAGTAAAGACATATACTTGGCGAGACCCTGCTAAGATTTCACAACTGTGTAATTCTATTTCATATTTTCTGACAGCCTCAAAGTTTCCGAGGACTAGAATCTGTAGTAATATAGTTTTTGTGGCTTATTGTAGCGCGGCAGTTTCTGTTTTATTCTGGCGTTGCGGAGAGGGGTGTTCGAGTTATCTCCACCAGTGAGAGTATAGCGCCTCCGGTCCTGGGGTAAGCCGTTAAAACTACTTTTATTAGCATTCACAATTACCGGAGGCTAAGGTTATATTTATCTGTTGTTTTAGGGTTTGATTGCTGCCTTCACATCTCTGTGGCAAACTGCCCGACCTCAATCGGAAGAGTGAAACACCTTCCCAGCTGCTGTTGTGAGGGCTCCTCCTCGGTGGAGCCTGCTGTCTTGTCTTGTCTTGTCGTGAAACTGTTTTTATTAAGTAGGCTTACCTTTTTCTGGTTCACCTGGTTTTATTTTATTCTGGATTGTTGCTTGTACCCTCTGTGATCGGGCTGGAGCGATCCTCTGCCCGAGTGTCGTGCTGGGAACCTTAAACTGCCTCAGCTGCCGATCTCAGCCTGTGGGGAGCCAGACCGGCTTGTGATCGAGGCCTGGACAATTACCACCAGCACGAGTTGTAGTTGACTCGTGGGGCGTAAGCCTTCCAGTGTGGTGTGTGTGTGTGACTTCTTTTATTAAAGTTGGTTTTAGTTTTTATGATCTGTAGCGAATCTGACGCTCAGTGTCCTTTTATTCTTTTAACGTATTTCTCTGTGTTTTATTTCAGTGAACGGAGGACGTGCCAGGGGCCTGGGACCTCAGGTGGTGGGTCGTTTTCACACTTTCTTTTGTACAGCACCGGGTGGGCTGCAGTGATTTTCTTTTTGTGTGATTTTCTTTTGGGTCCACGGCTGCTGGTAAGTCCAAGTTCCACGATTGTTTTATTTTCACTTTAGGACACTGTCAACAACGATGCTACATTTTGCTTTCTAATATTTCATTTATTTTAACCATAAATAAAACTGTATTAATATTGGAGCCAACCTGCCTCGGTGTGCATCCTTGAATGTGTGCGACCTCTTTTTATTCCTTTTATCTATTTTTCTTAAATATATATTTCCTGGGGGTGAAATTCCCCTAGGTGGCGTTGTCAGAATAATAGAAGAATAAAATATCCCTTAAAGAAAGTGTCATTTGCTGTTTGTGTCAGTGCCTCAAAACACCTCAAATGGGATGTTCCAAGCCAAGTTAATGTTGTGCTTGTATTCATCCATCCAGATCTCTGCAACTCTGAGGGCATTTCTCTTCATGGCAGGACCCAGGTCAGGCATGTAGGGCTTGTGGGCCCTCTCGATGTGGGCGATCTTGGAACATGGAACAACTTCAACACTGCCTCCACATGTCCATAACTACATGAACAAAGTGTAACTTAAAAATTATAAAATTGCACTTTGCAAGGATAAAAAATGCAACTACAACTATAGTCCACAATATGCACATTTTCTTAAAAAGTAGATGACAAATACAGAAATCATAGTTACTTTACCATGAAAGAGAACTTCATGACTCTATGATCTTTAGTCACACGAATTCCCAGCTCAACATTTTCTCCACCATACACTTTCATTCCTTCATCAAGGACTCCAATTTCCCCCAGAAACTTTCTATCAGCAACCAGGATCCCCATGACAGATTGACTCCTAAAGTCAAAGAAGAGAACCATATTTTACAGCTGTATACTGATATAACAATATTTAATAAACCAGTTAGATTGAAAAAAATAAAGTTAATAAGGCTGTTGCATTGGCTAAATGCTGATTTCACTTGAACTTACTTGCCAGGCAGTGAACCGTCATTAAGTTTGTAATACTCGGGTGTAAAACTCTCATACATGCACCACAGAGCCCAGTCGAAGGCGTGTGCACTGGGATGATATGTA